TCACTTTCTGGATTTCTTTTGGGAAACATCCCCAGCCTGGCACCACCCCAAAGCTGCACTATCTTCTTCCACTTTATGTGACTGAACCCAGGGCCTTCTTACTGAGCTACAATTTTTTTTTTTTTTTTTAAATTTTGAGACAAAGTCTTTCTAAATTTCCCAGGCTGGGCTCAAAGTTGTGATGCTTCTATCTCAGCCCCCCGCCATTCTGGGACTACGGGTGTTCATTACCACCCTGGAATTTTTTTTCCCCTTTATAGCTCAGACTTGTGTTGTTGGGATCCCATGTATTTTCAGAGTAAATAGAAGTTTTATTAGTGAGAATATTTTGGCATCTCTCCACTGGGTGGAAGACACTTTTGTTCCTTGGCCACTCCCTTCTCCCTACCTCCTGTCTGTCCAGGCAGAAGTCTTTCGCTCATGTCGATAGTGGTTTCTTACTCTCCATTATTCAATCCTAAGCAGTGGTGGTCAACTCAGAATTTCCCAGTGCTCTGCATGACCCATCTTAAGTGTTTGCCATTCAGGAGCAAATACTATTTTCTGCTGTAACTGGAGGTTGAGAAGGGCTGTGAATAACCATATAGGACTCAGGTCCCTCAGCCTCCAGCTACCTGAGGAGACAGAGGCAACCCACTGTGCTGGAGGGTAAACAGCCTAGTTCTGTTACCTTCTCCCAAGACCACAACGGTCTCCTCAACCATGATTTTCATCATGCCAAAGCTGGCAGTTCTGTCCTTTCAGTACCCTGAAGAGATAAAATTTAAATCTGAGACAGCTGGTTTCCACAAATGGGAACATGAGTCATTTTCTACACTTTTCCTTCTCTGTCAGAGGAATTTAGAAAAATCCATCTTGGTGCTAGAAGGAGTGTGGTTTCTTTGAATTTTCATTTCTGGCCACTGACCTGAAGCTGCATCGTGCGTCCTCAGGCCTACCCCTGCTAGGAATTCTCCTGCATCACACAGATTTAAGGAAGAGTGTGACTGTGGACCAAGGCGCCATGAAGATTGAACTACTGCCTGCCCTGACTGACAACTACATGTACCTGCTCATCGATGAGGAAACCCAGGAGGCCGCCATCGTGGACCCGGTGCAACCCCAGAAGGTTTGAGGTTCTTCCTGGACCCCTGTGCTTTGTCACCTAGCACCATGTCTTCCTCCCCTTAGATTACATCTGTGTTGTCCTTGCAGCTGTGTTAGATCTAAATGAAGATCAGTCTGGTTAGTTTTTGGAAAACAAACTAAAGTCCTTTTGCTACTGTCCAGTTACGCTATTAGGGGGGCCTTTGTGGGGGTGGAAGAGACCAGGCCCCATGGGACGAACATAATGCTGACCTTTTGACCCTGTGGTTGGACTCTTATGTGTCCTTGGGACTTGGCTTTTCCTCCAGGATTTTGCCTCAGTACTGACCTCAGAGCTGGATGGGCTTAAACAGGTTCAAGTGGAAATGAAAATCACCAAGTTGAACAACAGGGAAAAAGGCCACCTTCTCTCTGCTGTCCCAACAGCAGAGCGGGGCCAAGCAGCAGGGGCAAGATAAGGGCCTGGAGTATGACAGACCTTTGTCCTGGTTCCCCTGTGATCACAGGTTGTAGAAACTGTGAAAAAGCATGGCGTGAAGCTGACCACAGTGCTCACCACCCATCATCACTGGTAAGTGCTGGGTCCTGGCTGGCCTCTGGCTCTTGGGGCTCTTGTGGGTAGGCAGGGTCTGTCCCTCACCTGGGGAGGAGCCTGGCTCATAGTGTGCTTGAGGGAGGCTCCTGGGAAGATTCTGAGCACCAGGGCCTGTCTCTCCTCTCCCATAGATTTGTGGCCCTCTGAGATGCTGACTCCAGGGCCCCAAGTATAGCTTCTGGTAATGTGACTTGCAAAGAGGGAAAAGGGCAGGGCAGTCTTCAGTGCTTCTTCCCCTGCTGTCCCATGGGGGTCTGGCTTCTCTGTGCCATGGAGGACCCCTATCAGCTGCCTCTCTCATTCCCTGGGCTTGTAAAATGGGACACTGGCTTCCATGTTGAGCAAAAGGATTCTAAGCATTAGTTTGTTTGTTTTTTTAAAATAAGTAGCTATCTTTTGAGAGTTTTTTCCCCTCCTGTGTTTAAAAAAAATATTTGAAAACTAAAGGAAGAGAAAAAAGCTCCTGTGTTTGGTGCAGAATTGCCTTACCAATATCCTCCTTTTGGCTTTTTGAAACTTTTGAGGATCATCAAAGTAGAAACATTTATGTGGCTTTTAATTGTCTTTTCATATGACTGGTAAGGATAGTCTTTGGCTGTTTCCTCAAGATGCTCAGTGCAGGACTGAGCTCCTAGTGGCCAGGGACACAAGATGCGCAGATGGCACGGCTCAGGTGGTCTTTGGTGTTGCTTAGTTGGGCCCTGTGGCCATCTCCCTGGGGTTCTTAGTCACATCCTCTCAACATTAGGGACACAACACCAATTACCTCCTTCTCGGCTACTAAGCGTAGCTATTTTGTCTTATGGCAAGTCCTCTAAGAGCCACCCTGTCTCTGGGGTTCCCGATGGGAGCTTTACACATGTCTCTTGGATTCTCTCTTCTATGCTAAGTATCCCTAGTTCAGGTATCTCTTTCCTGATACTTTGGTGAATTCTGTAAGTTTTTTTTCCCTAGAAGCATCTCATGTTTTTGAGATGTTTGAGCTCAGTCCAAGGCCTGGACTGAGTTCCTGAGTTAAATCTATGCTTCCCATGATGAAATATATTACTTTTGATTTTGGTTATATCATTTTAAAAGATCAGTGATGACATAACAGAACAAAATGATTAAGAATAATAATAATAATAAAGTAAAATCAGTGATGAGTGTGAGCAAGGTGATGGAGCCTTTCTGACCTGTGTGTGACACGTGTCCTTCTTGGGGCACAGGCTAAGACATCAGGCTCACCTTGCCACTCTGGGGCCTTGATGTGTAACAGGTGTCTAGTCACTAGGCTCCTGGGGTGTGCCCCCCCATGCACAGGAATCAGTGTGGGAGTACTGCCTGCTGTCCTGACAGGAAGGGGGTGTTCCCTGGTGCTGGGAAAGCCTGAGCTGAATCCTTGAAATGGAGCCTGCCAAAGTGAGGCACCCCACCTAGCCAGGCTGGAAGTGGAACACCAGTCAGAGGGCTCCAGGTGATCCCCACGTGCCTGGGATGATCTAAGTGTGGGTGATTTGCTGCGTCTGCTCCAGAAAACCGCACTGGTGCAGTATGGCGGTGTATCACTTAAAACTGGGAATCAGAGATTGCTTTCACTTGAGCCAGATGATGAATGGAGGTCTTTCCTATGTTGGAAGATGTGTTTCTACTTCTGAGGGACATAGTAGGCAAAATAAAAACTCCATTTGTCAGGGTTTAAAGGCAAGTAGCAGACCCCCTTTATCCAGTGGGTTACCCCGTGTCTTCTGTTTGACTTCCAGGGACCATGCTGGTGGGAACGAGAAGCTGGTCAAGCTGGAGCCAGGGCTAAAGGTGTATGGTGGCGATGACCGAATTGGAGCCTTGACTCACAAAGTAACACACCTGTCTACACTGCAGGTAGGGAACTGGCCAAGAGAAAGGAGTTGGGGTGGTCCTCCCTGGACCCAAGGTGCCGGGCACATTTTGAGAAGGGGGCACAGTGAGGGCCTTTCTTTGCCTCAGAATCTAGCACAGTGGCTCCCTGTGCCTGCCTCGGTCATGGCTTGGCATCTAGTACACAGCAAGAAAATCAGTGTGTGAAGCGTGACTGGGTGTGGAGAGGCATAATGCTTGCTCTGAGTGGACTGGGACTTTTTTTTGTTAGGTCAGTTCTTGGGATAGAAGCAAGGGCCATGCACTGAGGTACATCTCTAACCATTTAAAATTTTTTTAAATTTTGAGATGGGCATGCTAAGTTGCTCAGGCTAGGCTCCAACTCCTTCCTGAGCCTTGCAGAGTGCTGGAATATAGACCATGCCACCATGCAAGGCTGGGCGAGGGAATTTCAAAAGGGATTGTGGGGTGATGTTTATTTCCTGATTGTGATGCTGGTGGGGCTATGCTGAGAGGTATATGTAGAGGTATGTAGATGCAGCTAAAATACTTGGTAAGATTTGTCAGGGTGTGAATACACCTGTATGTTTATGTGGACAGTATGTACATTTGGGGAATCCCAGTGAGAACTACCAGTGAGAAATCCCAGTGAGAACTTGCAGTGTCTGCTCTGTGATAGGTTTGGATTCTGAAGTGAGGAATTGCAGAGTTGGGTTGGAAACAGAGTTGACTTTCCAGGCAAGATATCTGACTTAGATTGACTGTTTTGAAGAGTGAAGAAAAGAAAATCCTTTGGCTCAGGCCTTGTGCCAACCCTCTGGAACGGTCCCTGTACCTGGGGCTGCGCCCAGTGGGGAAGCCCCGTAGCCACCTTTACGCTGCCCACAGCTCCTCCTTGTCCTCTGTGTTTCCACAGGCATCTGAAGGATTGGGAAAACTAGATGCTGCAGATGGGGCGGGTTTGTATGGGACCAGCAGTGCTACCTGCCTATGAGCCCAAGAAAGGTATCCAGTTTTAGTGTTCATGCCAGTCCCTCTTTCATTTCATTTCATTTCAGGTGGGATCTCTCAACATCAAATGTCTGTTCACACCATGCCACACTTCAGGACACATTTGTTACTTTGTGACCAAGCCCGGTGGTTCAGAGCCCCCTGCTGTGTTCACAGGTGAGTGTGCCAGGGTGTGGGGACCAGGTGGCCCTTGTGAAGTCCTTATGGCTCATGGCCTGAAACTTTTCCTGCCGGGCAGACTCACAGGCTACTAAATCCCATGTGGGGGACTGCACCTTAATCCTGGGTGTCAGCTTGAGACACATTCTAGTCTCATCAGGGTAGCGCTGGGGAGCTGGGGCACCCTCAGATCTTACTATGCCATGCTGGTGCCGTGTGCCTGGGAGGACAGCCTCTTACCCCTCCAGAGAGCAGACAGGTGGCCTGGCCAAGGGAGACAACTGGGTGCCACATACTCTTCCCACCTCCCAACCCCCGAGAGCCCTGTGAGCCAGGCTGGGTACAGTACAAGGCAGTACTCCAGGCCTAGTCCCCATGTCCTACTTGTCGTGATCTGTAGAGCCAGCAGCAGTCCATGGTTGAAAGTGTTCCAGAAGCTGCTGGGGCTGCTGTGACCATCACTGAGCTTTGTGCGGTCCTGAGCCAGCTTCCTAGGTGCTGTGTGCGCTACAGATATTCAGGGCACCAACAGGTATATCCAGAAATCTCAGGAATTTCCTCTTTTTTAGAGAAATCAAAATAATATTGACACTGATGTAAAGGTGGCCAAGCAGGCACTAGAACAAGGGCTGAGGGCCAGGCCTACTCTTCAGGTTTGTGAGCGACTGTGATCCTCACTCTTGAGTTTTGCAGATCTTTACGTCATAGATTGGTTTAGAGACAGTGGCTGAGTGCGCCTAGGGTTCTCCTGGGAAATGAGATAGAGTTAGGCTGGAGTAGAGGTCATGCAGTGTGGGGCACAGATGTCGCTGGGTAACCAGGATGATGTGAACTGGAATGAAATGCTTGGTGTGTGGGTGGGGATCGGTAGCTTTTCTTTTTTGAGACGGGGTCTCACTGTGTAGTTCAGGCTGACCTAGACCCATTATAGCACCCAGGCTGGCCTTGAACTCACAGCAATCCTCTTGCCTTAGTCTTCCAAGTGCTGGGATTATAGGTATGTGCCACTACTCTTGGCTGGAGTCTGTAGCTTTTCTGTAAAACTAAAATTATTCCGCAGCTGTGCTTATTTTTAAAGTAGCTGTAGAGACTTTTCTTTCCTTTAAGACAGTAGTAGATGAGGTAGGCTGGGGACCCTGGGTCCATGTCAGGTTCTGAGTCTACTTTTCCCTACTCAGAACAGAGGTTCTACCTTATAAGATGATGGTATGGAGGGGCTGGGGAGATGGCTCAGTGGAATAAGTGCTTCCCTGGCAAGCGCAAGGGCTTGAGTTCAATTCCTAGTTCTGCCAAAAAAAAAAAAAAAAAAAAAAAAGACGGTGGTATGGAGCAGAACGTGGCCTGTCCCTACATTTTCAGTGTGACTAGTGACATTGGGTGGGATCTCTGTGAACTGCAGTTGTTGCCCTTATCCCATGTCCTTGAGGGTTAGGTGAGCAGGTGTGGATCAGCCCAGTTGTCCCAACTAGTGTGGCTGGGTATGCCTCAAAGCCCTTGTCTGTCCTGTTATAAAACCCAGGTTTGTCACAGGCTCAGGGAACCATGGCAGAAGGTCATGGAATTTGGAGGTGCCACAGAGGGCGATTGCTGTGGGACACTGACCTGCTTGTTTTGTGCTCATCACTGTCACGTGTGTTGCAGTGGCTGGGAGCGTGACTTTCATAATGATCCTGTTCATGTTGGCAGTGTCCTTCAGGGTGCAATACAGGAATCTGGTATTGACAGCAAGGTCTGATGGTGGAGAGTGGACTGTCCAGCAGGACCCAGCCAACATAACTCAGGGCCCCAGCTGAGCTGAGGGAGGGCAGAGGTGGAGAAAGCACCAGGCCAGAAAAGGGCACAGTGGGAGGGGCTGGTGTGCCCATAGCTGCGGTGGAAGATAAGGCATTCAGGATGAGATGGGCAGGCAGGGTGGGGCCGGAGGGACAGGAGCAGCCTGGGTGGGGTCTACATGTGGGAAGGATGGAGTTTAGGGCCTCAGGGATCCTGCCTCCTGGCAATGAAGTCGAGTGAAGGCCCAGGACAATGTAGCTGGCCAGGAAAGGGGAGGCTGAAGAGAATGCTAATCATGGTGCCCAGTGAGCCAGGCCAGTGTGACAAGTCCTAGGGTATATAGGCTAAGAATGGCCCCATAAGGCTGGGGTGGAGGCTGGGGCAGTGTGAGGCCTGTGGGGGCATAAACATCTCAGGTGCTTTTGGCAGCAAAGGGCAGGCCTAGCCAGGGCCTAGGTGCCAAGGGAAGGAAAGAGCAAGAGGGTTGGGAGAGGCCACTCATGTGGGTGGGGAGCGGGAAGATTTGTGACATGGGACTGGGGGCTGTGAGAATGGGGTGAAGGTGACTTCAGTTTTAGACCTGAACTTCTGGCTATTGTCCATGGCACCATTTGAGACCTGAGGTAGTGCCCAAGAGCCCACCCTGGGTGGACGCGGCCAGTAGCCAGTGAACTTACTGCTTCAGCTCACAATGCCAGAGGCCGTGGCCAAGCTCCCTGACCTCTCTTGGGCTTTAGCCAGCTGCTCAGGTGGCTCCACTGCATGGCTGCTGGTGTTTTCCAGGTGACACCCTGTTTGTGGCTGGCTGTGGGAAGTTCTTCGAAGGAACTGCGGATGAGATGTACAAGGCACTGCTCCAGGTCTTGGGCCGGCTCCCTGCGGACACGGTGGGTTGCATCCCCTGGTCTGTGGGGTCCCACTCTATGGAGCATCCCCACACCCTGGGCCACCCTTGGGATGCCAGGAGAACTGCCCAGCTGCACATAGGTAGGCCCCTGGTATAGGCCTCACTTGGAGCTGGGAAAGCAAGTTGGCCAAGGTGCCTCTTTAATAATGCTTTTTACTAATATTTAACATATGTTCAAGCATGCCTAGTCCTAAAGGATGCCCCCTTGGGCGTCCACTAGGTGTACTCACCCCATGAGGTACCCAGGTCAGGGCAAGGACATGAGGCACCCCAGAGCCCTCAGGGCTTCCCTAGGAATTGCCAGCTCCATGAAGCTCATGTCTTGGCTCTTTCCCCAGAGAGTCTACTGTGGCCACGAGTATACCATCAACAACCTCAAGTTTGCACGGCATGTGGAGCCCAACAACACTGCCATTCAGGAGAAACTTGCTTGGGCTAAGGTGAGTAGGACACACAGCTAGGGCCTGTCTTAGTACTCTGACCTCCCAAGGGTCCTGCTGTACAAGGATGTGGGTGCTGCCACCCCCAGTTCTGTCTGAAGAGTGGGTACAACTGTGTCAACCCCAGCCCGATGCCACATAGCTGGTTTGTGGGTCCACTAGTGGACTCTGCTTCTGTGTTTCTAACAAGTAGCAAGGCTGAAACTGCAGGTTCTGGCTGGTCCGTTCTGACCCGTGGAGTTGGAACCTGGGTTGGGAAGTCGTCCCTGCTGTTCCTAGACAGGGCTGGGCCCTCAGACTCCTTATCTGAAAGATATTTATTTCCATCTTGGCCCACGGCTTGCCACAGAACAGCCCAGGGCCCTGGGCCAAGCCTGCCTGCTAAGGCTGTGTCCCTGAACTCACTGAGAAATGGTAAGAAGCGTGTGCACACATCCAGACATGGGGGGAGGTCAGGGCTCAGCATGGCTATCATCCAAGTCCAGTTAGTGATGCTGTCTTCTGCAGCTCTGTGTACCTTTTAAATAACTACCCATTTCTGCCAGCATCTTTTCCAAGTCCTTGAGGTCTTTACAAAATAATACTCAAAAATTCAAACACTAGTGAGCTAACAAGTATGTGATACCAGTGCTAAATTGAAAGCTTATACAGTGTACATAATATAATTATCACTTGGCAACTTCCTTTCCATAGTTATCTTTTGTTTTTCTTCATACTAGTGGTGGGTGTCAGCAGCCACTGTCACAGCTTGTCCCTCTGCCCTATGTAGAAGGGCTGGGGCTGCACGGAGACTCACATTAGCTCTCTGCCTAGGCCAGGCTGCCTGAGTTGTCCTCTTTCCCTGGTCATGCTGCTCAGGAGGGAGAGGAGGTGACAGGCTAGAGTGCCCCTAGGGTTCCATAAGCCTTCCTGGGGGCAGTTCCTGAATCCTGGATCCCTGAGAGCTGTCAGAGAGGGGGCCTGCCCAGCCCTGTGCTGAGTGAGCCCACCTCCCTGCTTTCTTACTTTCTGTGCTTTCTTCCTTTCTGTTCTTCATTACTTCTATCCTATGAAACTTAAAAATCACAGACATGGGCCGGGGAGATAGTTCAGTAGAATAAGTGCTTGCCTGGCAAGCGCAAGGACCTGAGTTCAATCCCTGGTTCCGGAAAAAAAAAAAAAAAATAGGCATGAAGAAAAAGCTCCCCCTCCCCTTGCTTCCCTCCCAGCACTGGCAGGAGGAAGGCACAGTGGAAGCAGCAGCTCATCCTCTGTGGGTAGCTTCCTGCCCACCTGGTCCTCCACAAGCACCAGGGGAGTGCCAACTGGGGATGTACCACACTGACCCTCTGCTTGCTCCACCTTCTCAGGTGGATTCTGAAGACCACTAAGAGGTATTTGAGACGAGGTCTTCAGGTGACAGTGGTGTGTCTTGCAGGAAAAATATGCCAACGGGGAGCCCACGGTGCCATCCACGCTTGCGGAAGAGTTCACCTACAACCCCTTCATGCGTGTGAGGTGAGGAGCCCTTTGGCCACTTGGGCTGGTTTCACCTCATGCAAATGGTTAAACCATGTCCCAGCTCCCAAGTAGGTGGCCTGACTTTCATCCTCGAATGGGGGGAACACTTCTGGTGCCTTAGCAAGAAGGATCTAGGGACCCTCTGTCCCTGGGCTCCGGGGAGCTGCTGTTAGGACCCTGACGCGCTGGACCCTGGGCAGTGCAGAACCATGTAGAGTCCATGGCTTTTCTCCTTCGGCACTGCTAGAAGGGCCTGGCTCAGACTTTCAAGTCTCTCACAGTGGAGACAACCCCTGTCTGGCTTCCTCTGCGACAGTGCCCTAGCTCCTCTGGGCCCTGTGTGCTGCATATAACCTGCAACCTGTCGTCCTTCTCGCCTCCCCAGGGAGAAGACCGTGCAGCAGCATGTGGGTGAAACGGACCCTGTGACCACCATGCGCGCCATCCGCAGGGAAAAGGACCAGTTCAAGGTGCCTCGGGACTGAGGTGGCTGCACCCAAACCCACCACCACTGGCACCTTTAGGGAGTGGGAGTTTTAGGTAAAAAACTGTCCTGCTGGTCATGCAAAAATCATCTTGGTTTAATTTTAAATTAATTGCAGAGCTCTTACCTGTGTTATCAAATGTTCTAATGCATATTTATAAGAGAAAAAGTTTAAAAGTATTTATTCCTGTAACCTTGGCTTGCTCTGTGTTGTCTCTTGCCTTAACCCACTTTACGCACTGCCTCTTCCTGCTGGTGGTCATATGATGGCCAGTGATAGAGGAACTGCTTGGAGCAGCACTCAAGGAAGGGCTGGGTCGGGTCCCCTTTCCTGATCTGGCTCTACAGGGAGGATGTGGCAGCTGGCACTACCCTGGGTCCACCCTCTTGTGCCTTCTTCCAGAGGATCTGCTACCCTTGTGGATCTATGTTGTCATTTTTGTGATTGTGTTGACATGAAGTAAGCTGACTTGAGCCCTTTGAGAGAAGAACCTGCCCCAGCCGGGGCTGGTCTTAGGCCTTTTCCCAGATTAACTTGTTCCTGGAATGGGAAGTTTCTGGCTCAGAATTACAGTGCATGAAGCCAGTCTCTACCCTGCACGAGCTCCTGGCTTGGCCACAGCAGCCACATACCTGCCTCAGTGTGAGCCTCCTGTCCTGAGTCTCAGCAGGCACCAAGCTGCCCAAGCTGCCCAGAGTCATTACTGTGAAACGTCATCATGCTTTCCCCGCAGTCCCTCAGACGTCAGTGCTCACTGCACACCATCCCTGCCCCTGTGGAGGCTCTCTGCAGGTCAGACCTGAGCAGTCCCCAGCACAGGGGTACACTGCCTTGTCCTATAGAGAGGCTGACCATACACCCAGGACTCCTGTCTGGTAGTGAGCAGGTATCTTGAATGTGGCCTTGGCTGAGTACCAACATATTGTCAGATCTGGACAGGACCCACCACCCCTGTGGTTCCAGCTCATGGTCTGACTTGCTGCTCCAGCAGACTGGATTCTGAAACCCCAGGTAAGCATGTGTGACTTTGCTGAGGAAAACTCATCCTGGCTGACCTCAGAAGCCACTGTCCCAGGTATTGCTCTGCCTGTGATCTCTGTCCAGTCCTGGGACCTGACAGAGCTGTGGGCAACCATGGGTTCTGGTCACAGCAAGTTACATTCTGCAGAAGATGGCAGGGTCCCAAGTGCGAGGAAGGAGAGTGGCAGCCCCAGATGCTGATGGTACCCAGTGTGGAGCAAGAATGGAATGAGATTTGAGTGTATGGCCCAGGACCCAAAGATAGGAGGCCTCCCTGTGTGGAAGAAGGGAATCCATGTTGGACAGTGAGGTTGGGCCCTGAGTCTGTCACTGGTGAACATGTGCACCCTCCACCTCCCCACCCCCACTATGTCTGTTTGTCTCAGGGCCACAGAGGCTTGTCCCTTACTTGTCTCTGCTGGAGGTCACACTGCTGTGAAGTTGAAATTAAGGACATTTTGAAGTTACACAAGAACTGCACAATTCCTTGTCACTTAGTGGTGATAAAGGGAGCCCCAGCCTCACCTGTGACACCCGGAGGTGTAATAGTCGGGTTTGCATGTCCCTGTCCCAGACTCTGCCTTAGATGGCACCAGCATCCAGGTGTGCGCTTGGTATGAATTCTGAGCAGCCTGACCAGCCAGTGTGGCACTGCTGTCCAGGCTGAGTTCCAGCTACTGCCCCTTGCACCTCCGAGGGCGCAGGCACCTCCTAGACAGCTTCCACAGAGTGGCTGCCTTTGAGGAGAGCATTTCCAGTGTTTGGCAGTTGCCATGGTACCTCACAGGCCACAGTCCTGGGATCATTTCCTCCCATGTAGGAACAGTGCCTTTAAGTGTGTCTCAGCCTAGCATAAGGCAGCCAGTCCAGCAACCATCTGTGTAAGCTTCTCCTATCTCTGCCACACTATCCCTAAATAACAGGTGGTTTTGCAGGTCCTTCTGGGACTTGGTTTGCTTTCAGTGGCTGTTACGACAGTCTGGCAGGCCTTTGGAGCTGTTTACCCACCAGGGGGGAATACCAGTGTGGTTTCCCAGCTGTTGCCACTGCAAACTATGGTTTCCTTCCTCATGCGGGGAAGGGTCTCTGGGATTCATGATCAGAGCCTATTGCTAGGTCTCAAGGAGGTGTTCCCAACTCTCAAAAATGCTTCAGCTCATCTCGTAATCAGAGTCAGTTCTGCTCCTGCTTACAGGGCAGTTGCTGTGTAATTCACCAGCAGCGGCACTGAACTTGTTGGTTTTGCTTATGTGTATGTGAAATGGCATGTCACACAGGTTTGAGAGTCTGCCCCCCTGGTCACTGGGCAGCCCAGCACTTTCTCACCTGTTGACTGGTTGGGGCAGTCAGGTTCCCTCCCCGTGAGCAGCCACACATGGAAGTGGCGGGGAGACACTTTCACACACGTGTTCTCTGCTCTAGTCTGCTGTTTGTTTTGCTTTAGGTGACCTGTGTGTTCTTTGGTTACACTTGTTTATAGTTAATTGTTTGCTGCTGGCTTTTCACTGTCTTGAGTTCTTTATTTAATCTATTCAGTGCACCTACCTGTCATGATTGCTTTTGTGTTCTGCTTAACAGCTTTTTTCCTCCCCTGTGATGCCTCCTGTGGCCAAAGTTCAAATTCCTCAGTGTTTCACTTGTCACATTCAGGTTTCTAATTCATGTGAAACTGCTTTTTATGCCTGGCCTGTTTTTTGTTTTTTTTTTGTTGTGGTCCTGGGGCCGGAATGCAGTCTCACCCACACTAAGCAAGTGTTGTAATGCAGAGTTTGCCTGCACTGCTGGCTTCTGCAGGCGTAGACAGTCTCACGCATCTGCACCTCGGGGGAGGCTTGTGTATTGTGTGGGCTACACATTCTCTTAGCTGCTACAGCTTTAGAGTAATTTTTTAAAAAATCTTTTATTTGGCACAGGGTCTCATTATGCAGCTCATACTTGTAGTGATCCTCTTATCTCAGCCTCCCCAGCACTGGGATTACAGGTGTGCACCACCACACCAGGTTTTGCTGGCCAGCATGACATGCGGTACTGGGGATCAAACTCTGGTCCTTGTGCTTTCCAGGCAGGTGCTTAGACCACCAAGCTATCTCCTCAGCCCTAGAACAATTCTTTATCCAAGGAAGGAATGTCAGCCTACCATGTCTGCACCAGTGTGGGGCATCCCAGCCCTTTGCTCTTACGCATAGATGTTAGGATGTTTTCCTCAGATGAGGACCAGAATGGTGCTAGCTCATGCTGGAAGTGAGTTTTTGCAATGTGCAGTCCAAGTTACAAAACATGCTGATTATTGGCTTAGCTCACTGCCACTGTGGTACTGCAGTATGGTCCCGACACCAGGCTAAGGACTTGGACCCCACTGCTCTGCCTGCACCTAGGATGCCAGCACTGGTGAGCACTCCTAGAATGACTCACAGAGCTCAAGAATGCATTGCTTGGGATCATGGTTTTATTACAGACACAGAGGGAGTGGCCCAGTGGAGACACTTCCAGAGCTGGGCTTGGACCCTGTCCAGAACCGCTGTGTCCTCCCACTCGTATTCATACCAGGATGCTTGCTGCTACAGTGTCCTGCACCTGCCAGGTCACCACCGCAGCATTGCCAATGGTGTCACTGGTTACAGGGGTGAACTCGGGCTCCAGCTGCCTCCTCTCCCTGGAGGTCGAGTTGCCATGGCCCAAAAACCCCTTTTGGATCACAGACTTAGTTTGTCTGGTGACTATCCCTGTTTTGGGTGTCTTGTTAGCACTATGTGGGATGTGAGCCAGAAGCTCCAGGGTGACAAATGGAAATTCTGAGATTTGAGGTTTATCCTTTTCTCCAATGGCTTCCCAAGTAGTTGAGATTATAGGTCTAGTCATCTTGGCTTTTGTTGTGCTATGATCGGGGAGCTTTAGTGCCTGTGGGGCTGGAAGACAGCAGAGGTGCACTGGCCCTGTACAGGGAGCCTGTGGCTGGGGCCTGAGGATGGATTAGTGGAAATGGAAGGCTTTTAGCTCAGGCTGGTCTCGAAGTTGCTACTATCCTCCTGCCTCAGGCGTCCGAGTGCTGGGATTACAGGTGTGTGCCACATGCCTGGCCTTGAACACTTACTTTGGTGGATACCAGCATGCTCTTGAGTAATTTAGTGGTTACAGAGCTGGTGTTCTGGAGGAGGAATGAACACCATCCAGAGACACTCAGCCTGTGTCTCTCAGTGTGGCTGGGATGCCTTTTCCAGAAGGTAATATGAGTGTAAGAAGTGAGATGGTGGGTGAGAAATGCTCTGGACAGAAGAGTAAAGTGGCCTTCTGGTAGAGCAGGGACAAGTGGGGCTGTGTGGGTCACGTAGACACTGGTGTCTACGCTGAGCACAGAATGCCATGGCTGGGCAGGAAACCAATTCCAGGTCTTTTCCAGGATTCCTGATGCTGGTGGAAGGAAGGGGGGCCACCCTTTCAGCCAGGTGTTGACCTGGGAGGAGGACAGTGTGGGCCCCAGCAATGCCATGGCGTGGACAGTGCTGGCTAGGAGGGGATTGGGAACTCTGTGGGATTGGCAGGGAATAAGGTGACAGTGTCTTGTGGACTGGGTGGGAGAAGCAGTCCAGGGCAAAGTCCCACAGCCAGAGAATTGCAGTGAGGCTGAGTCCAGAGACCAAAGGTCAGGGAGATGAGGAGGGGCCTAGCAGGGAGGGAGAAAACTGAAAGGGCAGCTGGGGGAGCAGCCTGCCTCAGGGATCATGGCTGGGGTGAGGCTCAGCACCTGTGAACCGTTCCCTTCTGACCTGATAAGTTATTTGAACAGATTTTCTGATACTGTTATATATTTTTGGGCTAAATCGAATTTCACTGGAATTTCAGTTGCTGGATTCAATTTGCTGGTTCCTCTTTTGTACAGTTTCCATCTGGCTTTGGTGTGTCATGTTTATCCATTCCTTGGGAGTTTGTAGAAGATAATTCTGGTTTGTTCTGCTCTAACAGCCTATGGGTCTGTTGTTGTTTGCTTGTTTGTTACAGTTCTGGGGCTGGAACCAAGGCCTCTTGTGTTAGGCCAGTACTCACCAATGAGATCCATCCCAGCCTCCAGCTGGTTTTTAAAACCAGCCTTTTTCCCCCCATTGTGGTAATAGGGCTATGAATTATAGTTTTTTGTTTGTTCTCTTACATTTTAAAATCAGATAGGTCTG